ACAGTTTGACTGACAAAGGGGCTGAACGAATCGAACAGCAACAAAAGGAATTTACAAAACTTTTCAAATCACTTCAAAAGATTATCAGTGAAATCGACGGGCCACATTTTTCAATTGCATTTGAACTCTCAAAGAACTGCAAGTATTGGAAATGGCCAATGGTCCAATCGTTTTTGAAGAGACAAGAGTTGAAATTGTATCCATTCCACGGTTGCCAGTTTGGGGTTATTGACTTGGACGGGAATCCCATGAAAAAGGGTTGGATGATTGCAACAAACATGGAAGAGTTGTCAAGTCTATCGGAATACGTTTGTGATGGTTCCCACACTCATGGTCAAAGCCGGGGTACTGCATTGAAGCTTGCAGAGAACTACACATTCAAGTTGACTGACTTCATCCATGATTGTTTTCGTTCCAGAGCTAACCAGGCACAAACCGCCAAGAACAGGAAAAGGTTAGCTTTGCCCGCCATGAGCCGCCGTTCTGATGATTCAAATTTGTCGATCGCTGACAAGATGAACGTGCGGGCTCTCAAGTCGGCCGGTTTAAAGACCGTGCCCCAACAGAGCAACATGTCGGAGTGGCTTGCTTTTCGGAAGTGCCTTGATGTTCAGGGGGATAGGCACGCAGGGGGGGAGGACATCTTTTCCACGGTCCTCGCTTCGTCAACCATCCTGGCACAGGGCAACAGAACAGAAGACCTTGAGTTGGCCGCAGGATTCATGCAGTGTTTTACTGCGCAGTCAATGTCAACTGACGCCCTGACGAACGTGCCGTGGGCAAAGGAGATCCGCCATCTGTCCGAGTTGGAACATGACTCACTGTGGGATCTGAGCTTGCCTACTGAGTACGTCCCTGGGACATCAAGGCCGGCGGTAGACGTCGTGCCCACCATCTATGTGGTGACTTCCGATTCAACTTTGGCTCTGATCACTGGAAAGGGTAAGACTTTGAAGAAGTACACCTTGAAGGAGGATCTGGGATTGCGAAAGTCAGACATGGTTCTCGAAATCGGTCATGACATGCTCTGGGGGAAGGATTTGCAACAGCTCTGCAAAGCAAATGTTTCCATGATCAAGGAGCTGATGGCGAAATATTCTTCTCATGGATCAGCCATCAGGGTTATTTCGGTAATCGTTTGGTCTGGGAATGAAATTTGTGGGGAATATGGTGTTGAACCCCTTCCCATTTGGGGGCAGAGGGAACCACAGGGCGACTGGAATGCCATCATGGACAGGGTCAAAGGCAACATCGTTTGGTGGAACAATCAGCTCAAGGAGTTGGGAGTGGATCAGGCCGCCCTAATCGGCGAGCCCGACCCGCTCACTTATGGATTGAGTCTCATCTTCACGACGTTTATTGATCGTCTGAAGGAATGGTTCCACAAGGAGATTGCCAGTGACAACGATCGGATTCGGTGGATCAAGAATGACATGCTCCCACCGAGGCTTGAGCTCAGGGACTACTTTCACGCGTTCGAGACCGAGCTCAACCGAAGTGAAATGATCGGATATGTCATGGCAACTCTCCACATGTTGCACATGACGGACATTTTGATCCCTCAGTACAACCTGTCTTTGTACAAGCGCAGGCGCCCTGCAGGTGAAGCTACAATGCGTGATGTCACACCGAAGATGGAGCACCTTCCAGTCAGGTTTGTGCAGGTTCTGAATTCTCTCCGGGAGAAGGTGAACAAGCCTGCACCGAGCGTCTCGACCCCAGAAAGCTTCACAGCAGAGGAGTTGAGAGCTCGCCCGACTGATGCTGGTGTCGCCGAAGATGATGATGAAGAAGGCGACCCATGGGATGCTCTGGATCCCGATGAGCACGAGGGCCCATCTGTTGGCAAAGCCAAGGCAAGCCACGCAGCTCCGCCTGACCCCAAGGCGAAACCTCAGACGACGCAGGAGGATTCAACTCAGGCCACCTCAGCTGGTGAGCCCCTGCAAGAAAACGAGATCAAGGGTACCATCATTCCGAAACACGCACTTGGGCACCTTGACAAATATCGTATCACATTGGACGAAAACATAAATGCAGAAGTAGTTGAACATTGCGTCGTTGATTCCCATCCCTACGAATTGATCGTCAAAACCTGTTGGGAGATGGATGGGGCAAAAGAGCTGAGGTTCCCAGATCGCATGGACCGACACAAGACTAAGGTCAATGCAGTGACACGTGGACAGCCGGGTCAGGACACCTCTGGATTTGATGAAAACATGTGGCTTGACCTTGATGACTTCTTTCGAATGTTCAACCAAATGCTGCCAGCCAAGTTGCCCCGAATGACAGTTGAAGAGCTTATCTCATTGCTCTACTGGGACAGCAAGTGCCGTTTTGAGTTCCAGTGCATTGCCCGGTACCAGAAGGCAACCCGTAAAGGGTTAGCCTACTGGCCCATCAGGATCCGTGCAGTGCAGGGGCATACGAAACGTGCCATGGATGCCGCTTCAGCTGAGGACACGTTCAATGCAGTGGAAATCTATGCTCTGTCTGGAGCAGCAGCAATCCAGAAAATGAACGCCAAAGGTAAAAAGATTACCACTCCTCAGATGTGCCCTGGCGTAGTTTATCACAGGACTACAAAAGGCAATTGGAAGGGCATCATTGAGAATGGCTTCGTGGCTGGAGGAGGAGAACGAAATTCATCAGGCAGAGCTCACTCCTAGTTTAGCGATGTTCGAGTCGATGAGAACGAGTATGTGAGCGGGTTGCGTGCTGAAAGACCCATTGAAATCAGGGTAGCAATGGCTGAAGCTGTCAAAGCTGGCATTGTGTTTTTCAGGACGGCCTCTGACGGCATTTTGACAAGTGATGTCGTACCGCCTCAATACATTATCTCTGTCGATGACACTGCCAAGAAGGTGAATTTGTATCGTCGCCAGCAGGAGGTTGCACAGTCTGCAGCGAGCAGTGGGGGAGAAGTTGGAGTCCAGCAGCTTGTCGAGACCTTTGAGGCCAAGGCATCAAAACGGACTGGTTCCACGTCTCCGGCCGCCTCAACTGGCGCGCCCACTGCGACAGCATTTTTCCCAGGGAAGGTGAAGCCTCCGCCACCAAATGTGGCCCAACTTGCCGGTATGCCTGGATATGCAAGCAGCAGATTGTTGCCCCCTCCTCCGAAGGGTGAAGCTCCAAAGCCTCCTGCAGCAAAGGTTGAAGGCCCAAAGACACCGCCAAAGGCGCCTCCAAAACCATCACCGAAGGAAGGGACTTCTGCACCTCATGCACCAGAAGTTCCAAAAGCTGTGACCTCAGAAGTTGATGCAGCAGCAAAGGATGAACCTGCAAAGAAGAAGGCAGCCCTGACAAGCGTGCCCGCAGCTGTGCCTGCGGCATCATCAGCTGCGGCCTTCTTGGAGCCTGTTCCAAAAGTCGCACCACCAAAGGCAGTGCAGAAAGATCCAAAAGCTCCAGTTGCAGAGTCACCCAAAAAGACGCCAGCATCAACATCAAAGTCACTGGTGCCAAAGCAGAAGTCTCGCCCTAAAGGCGATGACCAACCTTCGAAGAAAGAGGTGAAGAAGGAGGACAAGAAGCCGGTGCCGGTCAAGATTGAAGTCACGCAATGTTCAAGATGTTTTGCACAGACTTTCAAGGGACAGATTGAATGCGATGTGTGTGGATTGATGCTCGAAGGGGTGAACAAGGCCGACCGAACCAAGATTGCAGAACGAAGGAAGGCCGCCCTTCACAAGCTGGGCTTGTACTATGATTTTCGTGGTGAGTACCTGCAGAGCATCACACATGGTCAGCTTGAATCTTTGGGTTTGTTGGACGACCAGGCAAGGGGAAGCTCAAGTCCGGAAGCCGGTTGTTGGCAAGGGCGAAGAGTCGTTTCGACCGTGCCTTGAGCTTAGGCTATGTGTCTGTGGCTGACAGGTTTGCCCAGGACGCCACATTCGCAGAGAGCGTGCTGAACGAGGGGGAGAACGAGTACGATTGTGAAAGGTACGACCTCCTCAAGTCTGCACATTTGCCAAAGCCGGGTCGCACCAAAGCTCAGGTCAAGATGGGTGTTTCTGAGCAATCTCAGCTGGAGCACAATGCGATGAGGCTGGTTTACTTGGATTTGGCAAGCCGTCTTGATGTCCCGAAATCATTCAGGTACATTGACCAACCATGGTTCTACATGTACCGTACGGAAATCTACTCAGAAGAAGAGTACATTGACTACCTCAACCGGAATCCTGGACACAATCTTTTGTTGTCTTGTACTGGTGTTGACAACATTGCCGTTCATGATGCAGAACGTCATTTGAGGTGGATTAAGGGACAAAATGAGGAGCTGTACAAGCAGAACGCAGCAGAGAAGAAGAAACAGTCTGACAGGGCCCGCGAACAGAACGAGGCCAAGCGCAAAGCTGAGCAGACTGGTGCGTACGGCCAAGGTCCCTCCAAGAAAGGCACCGCCAAACCGGTTGCCCGACCATCCACCGTAGAGGTAGCTTCATCATCAACGTCTGCAAGTCAGTGGATCAACCGCCCTCAGCAAAGTCAGTCCCACGATGATCGCCGTTACACTGGAGAATGGCAGAAGTGGCATGGACGCTGGTATGAGAAAGTCATCAGGCATGGCCGAGTTGAGTGGGAAGAGGGATAAGTTGTGACACTACTTGCATTGACGATCGGTTTTTGTATCATAGCCGCCGAGTGTGTTTTCCCTTGGGTTTGCAAAGAGCAGGTTCGGTGAGGCAGGTCTTAAAGACCTCGCCTTGGTAAATGCGGCATCCTCGCCGTAACCGGCTCACCTGAGGGGGGTGTAAAATCACCTCACATAAAACACACTGTATTATAGATACATCTTACAGCTGTGCGGCTCAGGAGAAAACAGTGCTTGAGTCGCTGTGCTTAACGGTTTTATTCCCTTGTTTTAGGTTTATCAGTCTATTTGGGTGTAATAGGAATTACCCCAGCTGAAACCTGAAAATACAGCATGATTTTGCATGAGTGCTTCAAGGCTTAAAGATGCTTAAAGCTTCGTTCATTTTCTGGCACAGGATACCTCGCAGATCATGACCATGCTGACGGGGCTCCGTATTTTGCGGATTCTTCGGATGACCCGGATAGTGCGGGCAGTGCGCTTCATGAATGTCTTCCGTTCCTTGGCAGTACATGGGTTTGAACATGTTTGAACGCTAGGGACATGTTGGAATGCTTTGAATTTGCTTTTCAGTTCGGTGAGGAGGTCAAATTTCTCTGCAGAAATCAGCTTTTAGTTGACTGCTGATGACTGTCCATTCGTCCCTGACAAGTGGGAATGTTGTAGAAACGAATCTTGGGCCATCGGACAAGGGGTACAACTCAGACGCAGCGGTTGAAATTAGTTTTGGATAGCTCAGTCTGTTTGCTGTTGGTGCCCCATTCTATTACTACAGTTACTACAGATATCTACAGATTATAAGTTATAAATTTATAAGCTTTCCCTAATTTGGGATTTGTTTGGGAAACCTGGAATGAAGCCCATTGAAACTTCAATAGGATGATGTTCCCTCCTTGGACACGGCCAAGGTGAGCTCCGAGTCATGGTGCGCTCCGTTCTGGGCTGCCTCATCCCGCTTTTCTGGTGCATTGTGTGCCTTGAACGATTGAGCAGAGCAGCTAGATGGATAAGTAGGACATAGTAGGACATAGTAGGAAATAGTATAATAGTAGGACCGTAGGACCATCATTTTGAGAATTTGAATATATTTAAATTAATTTAATGATTGTGATGCTTACAGAACTTGCCAAGGTTGCTCTTTTTCATCCAGTGGTGCTTTGCGATCTACTTCATTACGGTCACTGCAGATGCTGTCCAGGCTATGCATGGCCAAATTCCCCATACTGTACATATTCTGCTCGCCCTAGTGAAACAGGAATGCCGGCATCATGTGGAAACAGTGCAGAGGTTCCCTTTCTGTGTTTCGTCGACGGATTGACCATGCCACTTTGATGATGCACTGCTTCTGCACTTGACAGGGTATGCACAAAAATCCGGAGCTGTGGAGTGGCATTGACAAGCAACGGCCAGTGCCCCAAAGTCAAGGCTTCTGTAAAGCGAATTCACATGGAAGTGCTGATGGAAGAAATACCAGACAACAAAAACAGAAATCAATTGCTTTCCCGAACTGTAGAGAGAGAGAGAGTGAGCATGTCTTTACTGCGTGTGGGCACCCCCGTGATATCAACATTCTGACGAAAATGTTGAGACACATAGTAATGTATTTTGACATACATAGGGGCATATTTGTTCTGACATCTTCTGGCATATCTTCTGACAAGTCTGGGACGTATATTCTGACAGCAAATCTTCTGACACACATTCTGATATACATTCGGGCAAAGATCCTGGCATCAACCTTGACATACTTCTGACATGAATTCAGACATTGAGTCTGACAAGGGCCGGAGATGACTCAGACCGCTCTCTTGCTAGCTATCTGACCAAGTCTGGGATGACACAATCATGTCTGGCAGCTAGCTATCTAGCAAGGGCCGGGATGACGCAAGGAGCTTGGCAGCTGGCTATCTGACAAGGTCCGGGATGACACAGATCAGTTTGCTTGCTATGTGACGAGGCGCGGAATAACAGAAGCTGGGAACGAGTTGTCCGACAAGGCCGGCATTCTTGCTATGAAAAAGGCATGGGGATCATGGAGGAGGAGCGGAAAAGTGGAGAGGAGTGGAGCGGATTGAAGCAACCGAGCGGGAGGAGGTGCTGACATAAAATCCAGAGGCGTCACCTGACTCTCCTGACAGGTGGAGAAAAAACGGTTCAGAAAACAGAGACAAAAAAAGAAGCAAATGGAAATATATGGAAAACAGAGATTCCAAGAAGACATAAGACGCACTGCACACGGGTAATTTTGGACGAGCAAGCAACACCTGCCACAACAAGAACAAAGAGCGAACGTTGAGTACCAATTTGAGGCTAAACCTGCGGGTGATTTCTTGTGATTTAACATGGCGAAATCGGAGCTCGCGGTTGAGGCCCGGAAGTGCCCACTGAGACTTGGAGCTTGCGGTTGAGGAGGAAAGAGGAGGAGGAAGGAGGAGGAAGGAAGAGGAAGGAGGAATAAGGAGGAAAGTAGTACTCATAAAGACTAGAGACCCTCGCCTGGCAGGTGGGCAAAAAGGAACTTACATGTGGGGATTTCCCGACAAAGAGGGTCATAAGGAACGCAAAAAGTGCAAACTGGGTCGCTTTTTTCTTGGAAAGTGCCAGCCGCTGATGCTGCCTTCTTTCGAGTGAGTTGGATTTTCATGTGCAGGAGCAATGTGATGACATTGTTTTGCCAAGGATCACCGATGAGATTTCTATATATTATGGGTCCATGTGGACAGTATTGTATGTGGTGCCCCCAGCGACGCGAGACGTGTGGAGTTATCCATGAGGCATTACATTTTGGCGCGTGTCTCGATGAGTTGTGAGATGCTGGGGCTGCATGACCCTATGTCAATGTCCTGCATGATTCACCCAGTCACAGAGCAGAGCAGCACGGCACAGACATGTCAAAGGAGGCTGAGATTAACAATCCTCCTTCGGCAGTTGGAACCTTGTTGCCTGTGGAAAGGTTCTTTTCGTGGCCATCACTGGTGGGTTGGATTGGTCAGAAGCCGCGCACGTCTTCCTGCTGCTTCAGAACTATTTGGTGTTTGGGCTTAACTTGTGTCGGCAAACATTCGCTCTAAGTTTTTCCTACTCTAAGTTCTTCCTGGGCGACTATGATTATTCAAAGCGACATGTGTTAAGTCAGCACGCTTGCACACACAGGCATCGACCTTTCTCCGTCTATCCACGCACAGATGTGCTTGCTTGTGTATGCATCTCTATCTCTTCCTATTTATTTATAATGTAGGTTACAGATTAGTACAGGGGGACCCCCCCCTCCCCCCCCTTAACAAATTTTGGGCACAGAATAGTGTGGAAAAAACAAGGTATCGGGTACGCAATAGTTTGAAATCAAAAAAAAAGATAGATTTCAATTGATTTCAATTTACTTTCAATTGATTTCAATTTACTTTGAATTGATTTCAATTTACTTTGAATTGATTTCAATTTATTTTGAATTGATTTCAATTTACTTTCAATTGATTTCAATCTACTTTAAATTGATTCCAATTTACTTTGAATTGATTTCAATTTACTTTGAGTTGATTTCAATTTACTTTGAATTGATTTCAATTTACATTGAATTGATTTCAAGTTACTTTGAATTGATTGCAATTTACTTTCAATTGATTTCAAATTACTTTGAATTGATTTCAATTTATTTACTTTGAATTGATTTCAATTTATTTTGAATTGACTTCAATTTACTTTGAATTGATTTCAATTTATTTTGAATTGATTTCAATTTACTTTGAATTGGTTTCAATTTACTTTCAATTGATTTCAATCTACTTTAAATTGATTTCAATTTACTTTGAATTGATTTCAATTTCTTTTGAATTGGTTTCAATTTACTTTCAATTGATATCAATTTACTTTGAATTGATTTCAATTTACTTTGAATTGATTGCAATTTACTTTCAATTGATTTCAATTGATTTCAATTTACTTTCAATTGATTTCAATTTACTTTGAATTGATTTCAAACTACTTTGAATTTACTTTCAATTGATTTCAATTTACTGCCAATTTACTTTCAATCGACACCCCATAGAAACCCAATAGTAGTCCCAAAGAAACATCATAGAAATACCATGGAAATCCCATAGGAATCTCACAGAAACCCCATAGAAAGATCATAGAAGTAACATGGAATAGCATAGGAACCACAAAAGAAACCCCATGAGAATTCCAATAATAATACCATAGAAATATCATAGAAACATCATGGAAATACCTTGGAAATCCCACAGGAATCCAATAGAAATTCCATAGGAATCCAATAGAAACACCATAGAAATCCCATAGGAATCCAATGGAAATCCCATAAGAATACCATAGAACTCCCATAGCACCCCTTCAGAAATCCCATAGAAATCCTCCAGAAATATCATAGAAACATCATGGAAACCCCATAGGAATTCCACAGAAATCCAATAGTAATACCATAGAAATACCATAAAAGAAAAAAGCTTTAACAAAGGAAAAGGTAAAGGGAATGATTGAAAAAATCAAAAATCATGACCTCAGGAAGCAGCAGGACACAATAGTGTACCCTCCAAACAAACCACACTATTGTGTATCAGGGTTGCTCATGGACTACCCCCTTGAAAAATTGTTTGAGTGATGTTTTTTAATTGGGTTTTAATAAGGCATCATATATTTTGGGAAACTGGGCATTTCTGAGAATTTCAAATGAAAGAAATTAAGAAAGTAATTAAGTAATTAAAAGAAAAAACTTTAGCAAAGGAAAAGGTAAAGGAAATGATTGCAAAAAAAACAAAATCACCCCAGGAAGCAGCAGGACACAATTTGTGTACCCTCCAAACAAACCACACTATTGTGTATCAGGGTTGCTCATGGACTACCCCCTTGAAAAATTGTTCATTGCACGCGGGTTCGGGTACAAGCGCGCACCCTGAAAAGCGTCAAAGCCGCAAAGCCGCCATGAAACGCTCAAGCCGCAAAGCCGCAAAGCCGCCATGGAACGCGCAAGCCGCAAAGCCGCAAAGCTGCCATGGAACGCGCAAGCCGCAAAGCCGCAAAGCGGCAAAGCCGCAAAGCCGCCAAGCCGCCAAGCCGCCAAGCCGCCGAGCCGCAAGCTCTGCGACTCATGCGCCGCCTCCTGCGTTCATCGCCGCTGCGTTGCCACCGCCATGGATCGCTGAAGCCGCAAAGCCGCAAAGCCGCAAAGCCGCAAAGCTGCCATGGAACGCGCAAGCCGCAAAGCCGCAGAGCCGCAAAGCCGCAAAGCCGCAAGCTCTGAGACGCAGGCGCCGTCTCCTGTGTTCATCGCCGCTGTGTTGCCAGAGCATCAAGAAGCGTCAAAGAGCCGCAAACCGCCAAGGCGTCGAAGCACCACGAAGCGTCAAAGCGGCAAAGCTTCAAGAAGCGCCAAAGCGTCAAGAAGCGTCATTGCAAAGCTTCAAGAAGCGGCACAGCGCCGAAGCGTCAAAGAGCCGCCAACGAAAGGCTGGCTGTGCTTAGAAGGGGACAGGCTTGCTTACGGAAAGAGGTCTGCAACCAAAGGCTGGCTGTGTTTAGAAGGGGACGGGCTTGCATATTAGCGAGACAATTCGTAGCGAATTCCGAAGAACAATGGCAGATGTTATGGCAACCCCCAAAAGATTGAAACGTAGCATTCGACTAAACGAATGGCAATTTTCCTTCCTATTTGGTTGAAAGATATTATCTACAATGTCCCCCCCGGTGTGATAGACAGTCCCGGCCTATGCGACACAGACCTTGCAAAAACAACTTTAAACAAGAACAAGAACAAGAACAGCAACAACAACCACAACCACAATAACCACAACCACAACCACAACCACAGCCACAACCACAACCACAACCACAACCAACAACAACAACAACAACAACAACAACAACACCAACACCAACACCAACAGCAACAGCAACAGCAACAGCAACAGCAACAGCAGCAACAGCAACAGCAACAGCAACAACAACAAGAAGAAGAAGAAGAAGAAACAGAAGAAGGAGAAGAGGAAGAAAAAGAACAAGACAAAGAACAAGAACGAATAGAACAAGGAGAACAATGAGAGCAAGATGGAGAACAAGATGAAGAACAAGAACAAGAACTACAACAAGAACAAAAACAAGAAACAGAACAAGATCAAGAACAAGAAGAAGAACACAACCACAAGCACAAATCTAAGAACAAGAACCACAACACCAACAACAAGAAGTCCTTAACTTTCGATCATCCTTGATGCTACGCTGCAAGATCTTGCCCTTGATTTTCGAACAACTTTGATGCTACGCTGTCAGATCACAGCCTGATCTTGCAATCATCTGGGATGCTACCGTGTAAACATTTTGTCCTTAACTTGCAAATCTTAATTGCTACAAAGTAAGATCTTGTCCTTAGCCTTCGAGCATGTTGGATGCTACGCTCCAAGATTCTGTCTGTCTTGTCCCTAACCCTCAAACATGTTGGATGATACGCTGTAAGTTCTTGTCCTTAACGGACAAGAACCAGAACAAAAACAAAAACCACAACCATAAGAACAATATCAAGAGCAATAACCACAACATCAACAACAGTAACAACAACAACAACAACAACAAGAACAGAAACAAGAACACAAACAATAGCAATAACAGGAACAAAAGCAAAACCAAAAACAATAACAAGAACAAGAACAAGAAGAACAACAACAACAACAGCAGCAACAACAACAACAATCAGAATAACAAGAATAAGAAGTGCTAATAAAAAACAAGAGCACAAACAACAATAACAACTTTAATGACAAGAACAAAAACGAAAACCAGAACAAGAGAAATAATAGCAAATTCTTGGAAGATCTGGATGCTACCCAAGAAGATCTTGTACTGAACTTTCAATCATCTTGTATGATTTTGGTTGCTATGGAGTAAGACTTTATCCTTTACATTCAATCATCTTGAGTGTTACGGTGTAAGATCGTGCCCTTGACATTCAATCATCTTGGACGCTACGCCCGAAGAGCTTGTCCTTAACTTTGAACATCTTGGATGATATGCTCTAAAATCTTGTCCTTGAATTACAAACATCTTGGATGCTTCGCTGTAAGATCTTGCCCTCAATTTTCAATCACCTTTGATGCTACGGTGTAAGATCGTGCCCTGAACTTTCAATCCTCTTGAATGCTACTGTGTAAGCCTTGTCCTTAACTTGCAAACATGTTGGATGATACGCTGTAAGGGGGTGTTGGATGGTACGCTGTAAGCTGTTGTCCTTAGCCTTCAAACATCTTGGATGCAAGCATGTAAGATCTTGTCTATAAATTACAAACATCATTGGTGCTTCGGCGTAAGATCTTGTGCTTTCAAACATCTTGGGCGCTACAGAATCAGATCTTGTCCTTAAATTTCGATCATCCTTGATGCTACGCTGTCAGATCGCAGCCTGATCTTGCAATCATCTGGGATGCTACCGTGTAAGATTTTGTCCTTGACTTGCAAATCTTTGTTGCTACGAAGCAAGATCTTGTCCTTAACCTTCAAACATGTCGGATGCTACGCTCCAAAGATTCTGTCTGTCTTGTCCCTAACCCTCAAACATGTTGGATGATATGCTGTAGGTTCTTGTCCTTGACGAACAAGAACAAGAACCAGAACAAGAGAAAGAACCATAACCACAAGATTAGAAACAAGAACCACAACATCAGCAACAACAACAGCAGCAGCAACAACAAGAACAAAAATAACAATAACAAAACACAATAGTTACACAACAAGAGCAAGAACAGTGATAACAACATTAACAACAAGAACACGAACGAAAACGAGAACAAGAGAAATAATGACAAGTTCTTGGAAGATCTGGATGCTGCCCAAGAAGATCTTGTCCTGAACTCTCAAGCATCTTGCATGATTTTGGTTGCTATGGAGCAAGACTTTGTCCTTAACTTTCAATCATCTTGGGTGCTACGGTGTAAGATCGTGCCCTTGACATTCAATCATCTTGGACGCTACGCTCGAAGAGCTTGTCCTTAACTTTGAACATCTTGGAAGCTATGCCCTAAGACCTTGTTCTTGAATTACAAACATCTTGAATCTGGGATGCCACGCTGTAAGACCTTGCCCTTAATCTTCAAACACCTTTGATGCAACGGTGTCAGGTCTTGTCCTTAAGTTCTAAACATGCTTGATGCTACTTTGCAAGATCCTCTCCTTAACTTTCCAGCATCTTGGATGTTACGGTGCAAGATTCTGTCCTTAACTTTCAAACATGTTTGATGCTATGCTGAAAGGCCTTGTCCTTAACTTTCAATCATTATGGATTGTACGGTGTAAGATCTTGTCCTTAACTTTCAACCATCTTGGATAACACGCTGTAAGACCTGTCCTTAACTTTCAATCATCTTGGGTGCTACGCTGTCAGGTCTTGTCCCCAACCTTCAGACATGTTGGATGATACGCTGCAAGTTCTCGTCCTTGCCTTACAAAAACAAAAACCGCAACAGCAAAAACAAGATTAAGACTCTGGTCAAGATGGAGATTTTTCCTTCAACCAATCTATTGATGGTCGGCTTCAAAACTCCGCAGGGCCTGGTTTATAAGATTTGATATAGGTATGACGATGGAATTCAAACCCCCCACCAGTTAGAATATACCCTTTTCATCAATGATGACATGCTCAATAACCAAAGTTATAAGTTATAACACACTCAAAGATGTTATGACCCGCGAAACGGCGACTTACAAACCACGCTTGTTAATCACCTACTAAGGTAAACCATCATTAAACAACCCACAAAAATTACTAAACAGGTAGTCGTAAGTTCGCTGGCTGCAGGTGAGCGCTGGCCCTCAAATACAAACAATCTGGCCCTTTGTTTTTTCTCCGAAACAGCTTTTATACCTATGTTTCAATCGGTGCTTGAAAAAAAAAAGTAAAATCTACAAAATCACTTTTTTTCCAAGATGGCATGTCTCAAAAAGCCGCAAAGTGCCAAAGCGTCACAGAGCCGCGAAGTCTCAAAGCGCCAAGAAGCGCCAAAGCGTCAAAGAGCCGCAAAGCGCCAAAGGGCCAAGAGGCACCAAAGCATCAAGAGCGCCAAGCGCCAAAGCGCCAAAGCGCCAAAGCGTCAAAGAGCCGCAAAGCGCCAAAGGGCCAAGAGGCACCAAAGCATCAAGAGCGCCAAGCGCCAAAGCGCCAAAGCGCCAAAGCGCCAAAGCGCCAAAGCGCCAAAGCGCCAAAGCGCCAAGCGCCAAAGCGCCAAAGCGCCAAAGCATCCAAGCGTTCAGGCTTTGAGGCTTTGAGGCGTAGGACACGCGCCAAAGCGCCAAAGCATCCAAGCGTTCAGGCTTTGAGGCTTTGAGGCGTCGGAAAAGCGGCAAGAAGCGCCAAAGCGTGCAAGAGCCGCCAAGCGCCAAAGCGCCAAAGCGCCAAAGCGCCACAGCATCCAAGCGTTCAGGCTTTGAGGCTTTGAGGCTTTGAGGCGTCGGAAAAGCGCCAAGAAGCGCCAAAGCCTGAAAGAGCCGCCAAGCGCCAAAGCGCCAAAGCGCCAAAGCGCCAAAGCATCCAAGCGTTCAGGCTTTGAGGCTTTGAGGCTTTGAAGCGTGAGGCGCCAAAGAGGCTTTGCAGCTTTGAGGCTTTGAGGCTTTGAAGCGTGAGGCGCCAAAGAGGCTTTGCAGCTTTGAGGCTTTGAGGCGTGAGGCGCCAGAGAGGCTTTGGAGCTTTGAGGCTTTGAGGCGTGAGGCGCCAAAGAGGCTTTGCAGCTTTGAGGCTTTGAAGCTTTGAGGCGTGAAGCGCCAAAGAGGCTTTGCAGCTTTGAGGCTTCGCAAACCTTAGCGGGCCTGATCCCCCATACTCTGAAATTGTTTGAGTGATGATTCTTAATTGGGTTTTAATAAGGCATCATATATTTTGGGAAATTGGGCATTTCTGAGAATTTCAAATGAAAGAAACTAAGAAAGTAATTAAGCAATTAAAAGAAAAAACTTTAGCAAAGGAACAGGTAAAGGAAATGATTGCAAAAAAAAAATCACCCCAGGAAGCAGCAGGACACAATAGTGTACCCTCCAAACAAACCACACTATTGTGTACCTGGATGTAATTTTCTGTGGAAGGCATCTGGAAAATTTCAATGATGGAAAATATACAGTAAAAGAAAAACGCTTTAAAAAAATGAAAAATTAAGAAACAATGTTTGAAAGAAACAAGACCAAGATCAAGACACAATAGTGTATCTGACACAAATAAATATAATGTTTAAATTTGCAAGTTGTCAAAAAATGAATGATAATGATTAATAATTTGCCAAAAATTGAATGATAATGGTTAATAATATTTATTATATTTATGTTTTTAAATTTGTAATTTATTAAATTAAAAATTAAATGATAATTAAGTATCATAAACAAAAAATTAAAAAATAATTTAAAACAATTTAAAACTTAAAAAAAAAATGAAAAAACTTACACCGAAATCCTGTGGACACAAAACTGTACCCCTCAATCATTTCCAAAGTTACAGAATAATTTTGGAGTCTGTGGACACAATTGTGTATCCCCACACCAATCTGTATCCCACATTAATATATATATATATGGTCAGTGCCGGAATTATAGAACGGAAGTTGAGGAGGACGAAGGTACGGTTATTTACCGTACCCTGTTGTTCTATAATTCTGTTTTCCTCGGAAGGTATGAAAAAAAAATGTATCTGATCTTCCTCCTAATTTTTTTCGTCGTTCTATAATTCTTGTCGGAGCGCTGCTGTTCTATAATTCTGTTTTCCCCCATTTTGCTCACATTTCCCATTTTCGTTCTATAATTAATTTTCCCCGGGCCCCGTTCTATAATTAATTTTTCCGTCGAACGGAAAAATTAATTATAGAACGGAAAAACTAATTATAGAATTATAGAACCTCTTCCGGGGTCCCAGAAATCCTATAAAATCACCATGAAATCTAAGAAAATCACCGTGAAATCCCATAAAATTTCCATGAAATCCCATAGAATCACCATGAAATCTTATAAAATCACCATGAAATCTAAGAAAATCACCTGGTAAATGTGGGAAAATGGGGGAAAACAGAATTATAGCACGGAAGTTGAGGAGTACGAAGGTACGGTTATTTACCGTACCCTGTTGTTCTATAATTCTGTTTTCCTCGGAAGGTAGAAAAAAAACGTATCTGAATTTACTCCTAACTTTTTTCGTCGTTCTATAATTCTTGTCGGAGCGCTGTTGTTCTATAATTCTGTTTTCCCCAATTTTTCTCACATTTCCCATTATCCTCATGTTATCCTCATTTTATCCTCGTTATCTCATCAAATCCTCATTTTATCATCATTTTATCTTCATTTCCTTATCAAATCCTCATTAAATCCTCATTAACTCTGCATTTTATCCTCACTTCCTCATCAAATCCCCATTAAATCCTCATTTTATCCGCGTTTTATTATCATTTCCTCATCAAATCCTCATTTTATCTTCATTTTATCTTCATTTTATCCTCATTTTCTCATCAAATCCTCATTAAATCCTGATTAAATCCTCATTTTATGCTCATTTTATCTTTATTTTATCATCATTTCCTCATCAAATCCTCATTTTATCTTCATTTTATCCTCATTTTATCCTCATTTTATCTTCGTTTCCTCATCAAATCTTAATTTTATCTGCATTTTATCTTCATTTCCTCATCAAATCCTCATTAAATCCTCATTAAATCTTCATTTTATAGATTGTATATGTACAAATATGCAGTAAATATCATGTCAGTGCCAGAAATTATAGAACGGAGCCAGGAGGACAAAAGTACGGTAAAATACCGTACCTTTGTCCTCCTCCCCGTTCTATAATTAAATTTCCCGACTCCGCTCCGAATCGGAACCCGGAGGAGGACAAAGGTACGGTATTTTACCGTACTTTTGTCATCCTGGCTCCGTTCTATAATTCTGGCACTGACTGTATCTCTCTCTCGATCTCTCTCTCTCTCTTTCTGTCTTTCTGTCTTTCTTTCTTTTTTTCTTTCTTTCTTTTCTTTCTTTCTTTTTTCTTTCGTTCTTTCTTGCTCTTATCATGCAGGCAAAGGACCCGTGAAATTTCAGCTTTGCTTAAGCCTGCTTCGTGCAAGGCCGTGTGGGCGTTTATGTTTTATATCGCTCTGGTGGCCTTGGCGGTACTGAACGTTGTGACGGCTGTGCTCCCAAGCTGCAGCTGAAAGCATCGTTTCGTTCATATGCGCCAACCTTGTGCTATGCCTCGGTCTTTCGTTTCATGTGTGTAGCCTTTGCAATGCTAATTGCTGGCTGAAGGTTTGTCGAGTATGCCATGAAGATGGCAGCGGAGGACCGCGATCTCGTGATACAAGATTATTTGGAGAAGGAGTCCAAGTTCAGCAAGGACTTGCAGGGGGGGGTTCGTTAAGTAAAAGGTACGAGTTAGGTACGAGTTGTACCTGGGCAAAAGACAAAGTGTGCCTGTAGGATGTGCGCAAGGCCCCCGGCCCTTTGAGGAAACAATCTCTCCCTATCTTGAGACCTCTTCGCCGTTGACATCTCTTGTTGTTGGCACCTTTTCTTGACATCTCCTTCTGTTCCGTTAAGTTCTTTCTCTGGACATCTCTTTTTCTTGACCGCCCTTTCTCTCGGCATCTGCGTGTCTAATCATGCGGGGCACCGTCACGCTACAAGAATCACACTGGACGCACAAAAATACACGGGGTGTCTATCAAAGGCATGTCATCTACGTGGCTGAGAAAACATAGCCTTCAGTACATATGTATCATGCTAGCACTAGGATAATTATACCAGTAGTACCGCACAAGGCGGTGGCGGAAGTTTCAAAATTAGGAAACCTATAGGAGAGGTTGGTTGTTGTGAATCACGGATGGCAGAGCGAACCCACTGATGGACCCGAAGGTAGCTGGACTTTTTGAAATGGTTGCAGTGGTCACTTCACGACAAATGCTGGATGTAGTGTGGTGTAGTTGTAGTGAAATGTAATGTAATTAGTGTATATAGTGTAGTGTAATGTAGCGTAGTCGCAGTTGTATTTGTAGTTGTAGTGTGCTGCAGTGTGGTTCGTGTAGTGTAGTTGTAATTGTAGTTGTAGCTGTGGTGGTGGTGGTGGTAGTAGTAGTAGTAGCAGTAGTAGTAGTGGTGGTAGTAGTAGTAGTAGTAGCAGTAGCAGTAGCTCAGTAGCAGTAGCAGTAGCAGGAATAGTAGTACTAGCAGCAGCAGTAGTAGTACTACTGCTACTTCACTAGTACTAGTACTAGTACGTAGTAGTAGTTCAGGTTTTTTTTGGGGTTTTCTTTAGGCTTTCTTTTGTTTTTTGTGTAAGGTTTCTCTCAAGGCGTTGGTTTCTTTTGGGCTTTCTTTGAGCTTTCTTTAGCTCGGGATGGTCGAGATGGTCCAGGTAGTCCGCAAGATTGCCATCTATACTCTATACCATCCCGATCCAACCCACATAGATTCCGATCCAGCCGCGCCGATCCGATCCATCTATATTCCGATCTAACGACCCCGGTCCAATCCGCAGTCAGAGGACGATGCACTTAGTATGGGCGACGTAGCTCCTAAATGTGCCCGCTTGTAACTCCAAAATGTGTTTGCTTGTATCTCCAACATCATCATCGTCATCATGATGATCATCATCGGCATCAACACCAACACCACCACCAAAAACTACAACGACAACAACAACACCACCATACATAATTTCATCATCAGCATCAGCATCAACACCATCTTCATTATTACCAGTAGTACCGCGCAAGGCGGTGGCGGAAGTTTCAAAAATAGGAAACCTATAGGAGAGGTTGGTTGTTGTGAATCAGGGATGGCAGAGCGAAGCCACTGATGGACTGAAAGGTGCTTGATCTCTCTCACTCTTTCAATCTCTTTCTCTGACTATCTACCTACCTACCTATCTATTTTCTACCTACCTACCTATCTATTTTCTATGTATCTATCTATCTATCTATCTATCTTATAATTGCCCAATCTATCTATCTATCTATCTATCTCTCTCTCTCTCTCTTTCATCTGTCTATCTATCTAGCTGTCTACCTGTCTATCTGTGTATCTATCTATCTATCTCTCTCTCTCTATCTGTCTATTTGTCTATCTGTCTATCTGTCTAGCTGTCTATCTGTCTATCTGTCTTTTTGTCTATCTGTCTATCTGTCTATCTGTCTATCTGTCTACCTGTCTATCTGTGGTGCAGTGTCATTCAGTGTATTGTAGTGTAGTGTAATGTAGTGTAGTGTAGTGGAGTGTGTTGTGTAGTCGTAGCTGTAGTTGTAGTTGTAGTGTAGTGTAATGTAGTGTAGTGTAATGTAGTGTAGTGTAGTGTAATGTAGTGTAGTGTAGTGGAGTGTAGTGTAGGGTAATGTAGTGTAGTGTAGTGTAATTTAGTGTAGTGGAGTGTAGTGGAGTGTAGTTGTGTAGTTGTAGTTGTAGTGTTGTGGAGCGTAGTGTAGTGTAATGTAGTGTAGTGGAGTGTAGTGTAATTTAGTGTAGTGGAGTGTAGTTGTGTAGTTGTAGTTGTAGTGTTGTGGAGCGTAGTGTAGTGTAATGTAGTGTAGTGGAGTGTAGTGTAATTTAATGTAGTGTAGTGTAGTGGAGCGTAGTGTAGTGAAATGTAGTGTAGTGAAATTTAATGTAGTGGAGTGTAGTGGAGTGTAGTGGAGTGTAGTGGAGTGTAGTCTAGTTGTGTAGTTGTAGTTGTAGTGTTGTGGAGCGTAGTGTAGTGTAATGTAGTGTAGTATAGTGGAGTGTGGTGTAATGTAACGTAGTGTAGTGTAGTGAAGCGAATGTAGTGTAGTATAGTGGAGTGTGGTGTAATGTAACGTAGTGTAGTGTAGTGAAGCGAAGCGGCGAAGCGACATCTGAACCTCCAAAAGTGGACCGATCCCCTAGGGTTTTGTACATTCTCACTTCGAAATGTGCTTCGCGCCACAACGGCGTGCACTTTTTCGACATCTGAACCTCCAAAAGTGGCGCGAACATGTGGTGTTTTGTACATTTTGACTTCGAAATGTGCTTCGCGCCACAATGGCGTGCACTTTTTCGACATCGCAACTTCCAAAAGTGGCCCGAGACCGCCAGTTTTTAACACTTTTGACTTCGAAATGCGCTTCGCGCCACAACGGCGTGCACTTTTTTGACATCTCAACTTCCAAAAGTGGTCCGAGAATGGTGTGTTTTGTACATTTTGACTTGGAAATGTGCTTCGCGCCACAACGGCGTGCAATTTTTCATCGCTTCTCTGGCCAGCTGGCTCCGCACCCGCCGCTTTAGCGAGCCTACTTTTCGACCCTCCGGCCCTCCGGAGCCACAAATCATTGGAAAAACACAGTGTTTCGCGACTTTCCTACCTTTTCGCGCATCTGTATCTTCTGTCTTCTTACTCTTTCTCTTCTGATCTTCTCTCTGCTAATCTTCCTCTTCTCTCTGCCTCTGCCCTGCTCTGCTTTTCATCTCTCCATATTGTCGGAAGTTTGACTTCTAAACTTCCTTCGATCATAATTGTCATCATCAGTATCATCATCTGCACCATCACGATCATCATCATCATCATCATCATCATCATCATCATCATCACCATCATGACCTTGATCGCCATCCTCCTCCTCCTCATCATCATCATCATCGTCATGATCATCATCAACACCGCCACCAGCAACATACAGATTTCATCATCAGCATCATCTTCTTCACCATCTTCTTCATCATCTTCTTCATCATCACTACCGCCATCATCATCATCGTCATCATCACCAAACATGTACATATTGCATCATCAGCGCCATCATCATCTTCCACACCTCCGTTGTGGAACCGTTCGCAGAGGCCGAAACATATGGAGGTCTTGTCTCATTCCTTGATATCTTCATTGCCTATAAGACCCGAAACATGCACAAAACATGTAGTGAAAACGCTGGATTCTTCACGAGGGAACACATATGACATCACATATATGAAAGGTCCGAATAGATGGCAAATGTGGCCATGGTATGCCATGGTAAAGATTTCCCAGTTGTGATGGCACATTTAAGGATCATGAGGATGCTGTTTGGGATGAAGGGTTTAAGAGTGTGGTCGCTAGTAATTGTATCAACTGGAGTGATTCAGTTCGCTGTTGTGGGCTACTTGCAAACAGCACTGAAACTCATAGCCACAATGTTGCTGCTGCATTAGATTTTTTTGTTGCGTATATCTTGTCATCCATATTCCCGTTTAAAGAGATCTGATCGCTTGGCATCGAATATTTGCTGGTCTCCCATGGCAGGCTGCTCAAGCGGTATTTCAAGAAGCGGATGCTGATGATAGTGGGGCTATCACCTTCGAAGAGTTTACAGGGCACTTGGAAGATCTTCGCGTGCAAGCTTTCCTACGCAGCACCATGGCCTTCAACAATACAATCTAGAATATAATATATATATACATATCTATTGCATATATGTATAGAGGAACACGACCTTTAAACCTTTGCTGTCCATGGTTATCAATTAGGGAGGAGATCTCTTTGCTTATATGTATCATGTACGTACTGTATGTATCATGTTGATTCTTGGTGGGAAAAAATTGCCGCATTTTCCTCAGTTATCCTCAGTTTGAGGCATAGCTGGCCCCAACCAAAAGAATGGTTGATCCTGTCAGTTTCAGGCCAGTTGTCAAGTCAATATGTTTGGATTGTCAAGGGCCCAACACTTAAGATTTTGCACATGTGCCATGATGTTTTTTGCCATCTGACCCTATGATGGAGGGTCCGGTCATGTGACTAGTGCCAATGGTTGCGCCATGCTTCGCCGCTTCGCCCCCAGGTATGGAACTGGATGGCGTAGAAGCTGTCCGCCTCTTCAAGCTTTTAGATGCCGACGGTAATGGAAGCATAGAAATCGATGAGCAGCTCGGCACCCCTTGGGCCCTTAGACGGTGGATTTGCCGATGACCAAAATAAAAGAGACACTGGTCTCAAGAGCCACACCAGTTCAGTTGTAGGGCACCAATTTGATCTATTTAAGTGCGTGTGGTGAGAGCTTGTTTAGCTTTGTTCGCCAATCTGTTGTTGTCCTTCTGAGCCCTTTTGAGCCTAGACTTGATGATGTACAATGGTGATCATATCAAACTGCACTGCCGAGGTTCGTGCAGGGTTGCATGTGCCTCAGAGGCAATGCCAAAACATTGGACCTGGCAATGCTTCTCTGGGAGCAACGCAAGGCTCAGAAACCCCTCGATGTTTTGAAGAAGTGCTTCAGTAGTATATGCTTTTGTCCCATTTTCCTCGTTATTTTCCTCTTTTACTTCAATAGTTCAATTTATGTACTTCATTGAACTCCTCTATAGATTTGACATTCCTTCGCTTCACACATCTTCGCGATCGCATCTTGCCATCTTGCAGGCCATGAAGCGTTGGATGAGCTTCATGAGCCACTCAGAAGCACCGGCACCGGAAGATGTCAACTTTGAGCAAGCGCTGAATATGCTGAATATGCTGAATGTTCGCAGTGCGATTGGGTTGACAAGATCTCATGATTGCACATTTTTGCATATTTCTATGAGTGGCTGATCGTCGCTGTATGCAGCATTATGACCTATTATGCGTCAACGCAATTCTTTCCTGGCTACATGTGGCCAAGTGTGGCCATCATGCAACATGTGAACCTGTGCCCTAGCAAATGTTGTCAACCCAATGGAGACCACAATATCGCACTGCGGATCACCAGTGAAAACCAATCGCCAAAGCTTTGTTCAACACCAAGGCTACGTGGACGTGAAGCTGAACGAACTCACCAAGCAACAACAACACACTGTGTCACATGCAGGTGGCAGCTGCGGATCTGTACTTTGGCACTCTCAATTGCTAGTTCTCAGCGTGACAATGTTTCGTGTTTTCCGTACTTCTGGTTGGATCTCATTGTTCTTTTTGGACCTGTTCCCCTCTTTGCATCGGTTGAATCTGTTTCCACGCAAACGGTAAACTTTTAAGACTTGAGGAAATATAGAAACCACCGTCAATTAGATTTAGCATGATTTAGCCAAGCAGGTTCCCTTCTTTACTGGACACAGCCCATTCACTGTAAAACGATAAGGAAGAAAAAACGATCATCATAAGTATAACAGAAGAGATGGCTCAAGGATTCTCGCGGCTCAAGAGAGTTGGCAAGAAACCCTTCTCATCTGCTGGGGCTGCCTGGCAGGGCTGGTGGGTGGTGTCGCGGGGTGTGCCCCCTCCGCCTGGGCAGCCCCCCGTCTTCTGCCCCGTCAGCATTTGCCGTTGCTCGGGCCGTGCACGAGAACCTGGCTGGGCGTGTCTCCCCACCATGCACGCACACATCCATGCCCACCGACTGGATGCGAGCCAACCACAAACAACCGTGCCCAGTCTGCGGCTTGGGGGCACCCGCTATGGCACCCACCCAAGCTCGGGCTTGGGCTCCAGCCAGCGGTGGCCAGGCCACCACTCTCCGCCACATCCCGGCAGGCGCGCGACACCTCTGGACCAAGTGCTCACTCGTGCCTTGGCCTCAGCTGCCTGCCACAACGACCCCAAAGCTTGGAAGGAGCTTCTCGTGCTCCCACGATGTGTCCTCTGTGCCCCACCTCGCGGTGGTCGCGTGCGCTGCTTTCCATTGGTTTGGCACCTGTCGCGGCGGACACGGTTCGGGAACTCCAGGCACTTCATCCCAGGGCCCCTTCCTCCCCTGACAGCCTTGCCGCCCCCTCCAGATCTGCCACCTGACCCCATCACCAAGCCCCTCCACATGGCAAAAGCTTCTGGAAAATGGGTTGCTGAATCAGCTCGCAGCTGTCACCACCCTTTTGGTAGGTGGTGGTGCCTGTCCAGATGCTTCACCTTTTCTGGCTGGCGCTGCCCAGACTGGGGTTGCAGTCCTCGCGGAGTGGAGTCCGTCGTGCACACCATGCGAGCTTGGTTTGGCCGCCATGCTGCCTCTACTGCATGACAGGGTGGTTTGCAAATTGGATTTCAAGAACGCTTTCAACTAACTCTCACGCCAACATTTACTTGATGCATGCACCTCGCACTTCCCAGCACTCTCCCGGTGTGCCCCTTCCCACCTGCAGTTCGGCACCCATGTTGTTGAATCTTCCAATGGTGTCCAGCAGGGCGACCCCCTTGGTACTCGTACCCTCCTGTTTGCTGCTGCCCTGCAGCCCCTGGCCTCGGAACTCAGTCAAGCCCCGGCCGTTGCCGCTGCTTTGAACCACGTCTGCGTGAAGGGGGCGCAGCTTGGGTTCGAACTCAACCTCATTGCCGTCGGCAACATTAATCCCACCGACTTGACGCCACTCTTCCCGGCAGAACCCATGGCTGCTGCAGATGGGACCCCCGCATCCTCCGCAACTTCGAGCTCCTGGGAGCTTGTATTGGCAATGCGGATTTCATGGCCGCCGGGGCCAAAGCTCGGGTCAGCACAGCCGCAGACTTGCTGGAGGCTTTGGGTAACCTCTCTGATCCTCAAGTTGCACTCCGTCCGTCTTCTGCGGCCGTGTGGTGGGCACGCCCGCCTCGTGCACCTTATGCGCTGTGTCCCTCCCCTCGCACAACAAGCCACCCTTCTGGACTTTGACGTCCGTGTCCGCCATTGTCTGGCAGCAATGTGCAATGGCAGCAAGCTACCCGGAACCTTGGCAACAGCGGTCTGGCACTTTGCTTTGCTGTGTCCGACGCCCCCGCTGCCTACCTCGCTTCTCTTGGCAGCTGCCTTGACCGGTGCCTCGACTTGGACCCGATGTTTGACCGCCGTGCCGTGCTGTCCTCATCAGCAGCCACCCAGGCCATCCCTTCTGAACAGTCACCTTGACGCACCGCTCACGATTGAAGCTGCTGAAACAGCTTGTTGACTCCGCAATCCTCGGCTTTGCCGTGACTGGCCCCCAGCGGACGGAGTCTCTTTCTCAAGCAACGAACAAACCTGTCAGTGCCGCTGCTGCATATGCCGACCCCAAAGCCACACACCAAGACACTGGCCGCCTTTGCTCCGAGCAAGGCGTCCATTTCCAACCTATGGTGGCTGAAACCACCGGTGCCTGGGACAAGACCGCCTCACATGTGCTCCACATTGTGGCGGCGGCTGTTGCGGCGCGTGAAGGAGCGGCCGTTGCAGACCTCTATAGCCGCCTCCTTCAAGAATTGTCCATCACCACGCGCCGGTTCCGGGCACAAGCAGCCCTGCGACGACGGGCCGAAATCATCAATCAGACGCAGCCCATTGCCAGGGCGTCAGCCGCCTTGCTCGAAGGATGAGCTGAGATTTTTGGATGGGTCGACTGAGAGCCGGGACGTAGCCATCCTTTTCCTTTGGCCTCGACAGGCGATGTTCTCCCCACGCTTGTGCTCAGTGCACTTTGCTGGGTCGTGTTTTTGATAATGAAGAGTTTTTGGCCTTAGTTTTTGCCGCCATCTTCACTGTAGAACACCCCTATGCCTGTCCCCCACTAGTCTTCATTCTTGTCCTGGTCGCCTTCCAAATTGAACATGCATTAACATCATGTCACTGATGCTGCATGGTGATTCTAGCAATATCCGAGTTAGAATGCAGCTGCTGATGCGCCTCTAGCATTTGTATGAAGAACACATCAAGTATGTCCCGCGGACCACGGATTGGCAGAATCTACGCGACACAAAACGATAACAAAGCGATATAACATGATATACCAAAACGATAACAAAAACGAGAACAAAAACGATAGAAAGCCAGCTCCGCCATGGAGATTCGCCCCAAACAGGTAATTAAACCATATCGTCACTTGTGTTCAACAGGTCAGGCCCAAAGACAAAAATAAGGTTTCTTCTCTTAGAGCCTTGGCGTAGCGTGGCTACGTGGCTACAGTAAATTTGCTCCAAGAAGCGCTGTTTCCGCCAAGGTAAGTATGTCCGATACCAAGAATAAATACATAGCCCAATGGAAATTGAGCAAGTAAAATCTCAACGGCTGCCGCACGTGCATGAACCTCTTTATGGCGGAATGCCGAAATCCTGTAAAACGATAAGGAAGAATAACAAACGATAAGGTGAAAACGTAATAATTAGTGCATTTATACTTTTTTTTACCATCTCACTTGGCATCATGTACGCAAGAAGCGGCTGGTATTTTTGACATTTTTTGACTCTTTGCCAGCTCCTGTTTGGCAGGCTCAAGCCCGAAGCTTCTTCAGACGTGATGTACTTGCTGGTAACCAGCCGTGCATCGCCTAGTTTTTGTACAGGCAATCGCGCCGAAAGTCCTGGATGCACATGGGCCATGGAAGAGCATGCAGTGAGATTCAATGCAATTCAACGGGCATGCTTGTAATATTCTATAATCATTATCGAAGGGAGTTTAGAAGTCAAATTTCAGATAATATGGACGATGAAAAAGCAGAGGTGGGAAGAGTCAGAGAAGAGAAGAGAAGAAGAAAGAAGATCAGAGAAAAGAAAGAGTCAGAAGACAGAAGATGCAGGTGCGCGAAAAGGTAGGAAAGTCGCGAAACACTGTGTTTATCCAATGATTGTGGCTCCGGAGGGTCGAAAAGTAGGCTCGCTAAAGCGGCGGGTGCGGAGCCAGGCCAGATGAGAGATGAAAAATTGCGCGCCGTTGTGGCGCGAAGCACATTTTCAAGTCAAAATGTACAAAACACCATTCTCAGAGCAGAGCACTTTTGGAATCTGTTGGAAGTTGAGATGACGAAAAAGTGCACGCGGTTGTGGCGTGAAGCACATGTGTGGAAGTCAATATGTACAAAATACACCATGCTCGGAGCACTTTTGGGAGTTGTGCTGTTCAAAAAGTGCACACCATTATGGTGCGAAGCACATCTCGAAGTTAAAATGTGCAAAACGCATCAGTTTCGGACCGCTTTTGGAAGCTGACATGTCGAACAAGTGCACGCCATTGTGGCGCGGAGCACATTTCCAAGTCAACATGTTGAAAACACCACATGCTCGGACCACTTTTGAAGGTTCAGATGTGGTTTTGCGTGGCAGGCGCCCAATGGATTCTGCACCTTGCCAAAAGTGAGCAAAACGTGAGGGTGTTGTAGCAGCATTTCCAAAAACGATGGCAGGCGTGGGACATTTCAAGAGGATCTGCAAAGATGCATTTTGCGTGGCAGGCGCAGTACAAGAGACATGTTCATCAGAGATGTTAGGAGGTGAGGGCGCTGATTTCCTGAGATGGGTTGCATTTTGGAGTTCAGGTTTCCTGAGATGATTTGCGTGACAGGTGCAGCACGTCGTATGATCTGGCATCAATTTTTTTAGTGGCAGGCGCAGCACTATAGACAGATGGAGTGGAAAAATCGCAAAACGCATTGGTACAAAGAAATCAAAAGCCGCACTCAACTTTCCTTTTTTTAAGGAAGTCCGTCAACTTCGAAAATTGAGGAAGTGTCGCAGAATTGTGTCGTTTTTGGCGTTGTCACGTTCAAAAATTGAGGAAGTATTGCAGAATTGCTGCGTTTTTGATGTTGTCAAGTTCAAAAATTGAGGAAGTCTCGCAAAATAGCTTCGTTTTCAAGCTTGCAGATTGACAGGTAGACAGAGCTAATTGCAGCACACTACATTACAAATACAACTACAGCAGCTACAACGACGACAACAACAACAACAACAACGACTACTACTACAACAACAACAGCGACAACAACAACAACAACGACAACGACAACGACAACGACAACGACAACGACAACGACAACGACAACGACAACGACAACGACAGCGACAACGACAACGACAACGACAACGACAACGACAACGACAACGACAACGACATACTACTGCTGCTACTACTGCTGCTACTGCTACTGCTACTACTACTAATACTACTACTCCTTCTCCTACTCCTACCCCTACTTCTACTTCTACCAGTACTACTGCCACTACTACCACCACCACCACTACGACTACTACTACTGCTACTGCCACTGC